GCTTCCACTACCGAGGATGGGAAAATTCTTCCGCATAAAGACCATGAATTTGATGTTTTTTGGCATATCTATATATTGGGTACAGACAGAAATGTGAATCATCACCATTGGTTCTCTGATAAAATTAGACAGATTCCCGAAATGGGCGAATGCGGCGGTCCTGCCTTCTCGTCATTGGGCTTATTCCTGGAGACCCAATTGTCGAAGTTGAAAAACAGGATGGTTCACATGGTGAGGATAGTGTGGAAGAGATATTCACTCGTGCTGACCCAGTTTCTCTCGTTATAGTGCACATCTGCAGGAGTTGGTGGATTCTGTTGTGAGAAAAATGTAATTCTCCGAATCTCCGGATCCCAATTGAGGCTACTGATAACACGCACACACGAGATCTAACTTGAATCAATGTGTGTACAATGACTGTCATCGCTGAACAGATTAACCAACTGTCGGTGCATTTATGCACATGTCTAAGCGCAACGTTTGGGATCGTTGAATTTATGTGTTGTATGTTGCGAGAGAAAGAGAGAGAATATATACATGGAAGGGGGGGGGGGTAGACAAGCTAGAATTCCTGCTGCGTAGTGAGCAAATTTTTCTCAAACAGTGATAAATTCAGGAAAGCGACAAGCAGTGTGGGCAACGCGAAGGACATGTGTATGATGGACCTTGAGGACAGCGGCGGAAGGATATGGCCAAACAGTAACGACAAGAAAGAAAACATTCCAAATTTAGATCCATCACATGGGAAACTGTAGCCCCACCACTTGACCTCTGCTTTTGATCTCCTGAAGTCGATGGAGCAACCTCATCGACACTCACGGTGGGGGAAGGGAGAGTTGAAACAATCCAAGCAGTCCACATGGCCCTTCTTCAAAGCAAAATGGCTCCACCACTTCCTCTGTCGCATTCCTCCTCCATTTAGCTCGCATTGCTTATTACGCTTCGAGCAGAGAGAGAGAGCCATCTTCAGGTGAGCATCTGCAAGACACCACCACCTGCTGTATTTTTGTGGTTTGGCAAACACTGTCCTCCTCCTCCTCCTCCTGCTCTACATTGCAAACACCACTATGCTTGCCTGTCTGTTTGCCTGCCTGCCCATGCAATGTGATGCTTCTGTAGCTTTCAGGTGGGGTAAACCATTCATGGCCTCAGCATGAAGAATGCATGCCATCTTGCTTTTTGCACCATTCAAATGGAACCCAAGGGAGCTTTTTCCCTGTGCTTTGGACAGAAGTTTTGGAAGCATTAGAGCCTTGATGGTGAGGATTCAAGAGGATGGATGAGATCTGGCACTGCCCAAGCACTAATGGCCAGGTGTTTCCCTACTGTAAAGTTATCTGTCTCTATGAGTGTTTTGATAGATAGATAAATAAACAAATAGATAAATTGGGGTTTGCAATGCTTGTAGTTAGTTTCACTGCTACAGGTATTGTCCTGTAGCATTGCAACCTGCCTTGTTTATGTGTGTGTTCATTCAATTGATCATCATTGGATATTGCAAACAAAGCATTACAAGAGCCACAACACATTAAGGGGATTCATGTATGCTATCTAAGACTGATGATTGTCATTGCATAGGCAAACATGGAAACCTAACATCAAGGCTCTGCCCTGAAATACAATTAAAGTAAAACAAAATAAGATGTTTTTTTTATTCATATTGGATGCTGAGGATCAAACAACATTTTTTTAATATTAGAAAGGAACAAAAAAAGAAGTTTGTGGGGAGGAACCATGTTTTCTTTTACTCCAACTAACAAGGATTCAACCATCAATACAAGTCCCAATGCATATGCATGGCTTGTTCTTGACTCAAAGAGTTTTGTTGGCATATTTTTAGAACAATTTATTTTCTTCTCTTTTCTTTTCTTCTCTTTTTTTTCTATGCAGAATTTGGCATACATGTTAGAATATCTGCTCAATCAGCAACTGAGCTTGTGGCTTTTGGCAACAAAAAACAAGGATAAAAATAGAATGTTCTTGTGAACACACTGACAAAGAGCTTGAGAAGTGTGCAAGAGTGATTGTGAATGAGAGAGCAACACTCAGGCAATGGGCAAAGGGAGAAGGGTATTATCCAATTCCAACAGATCCCATTTCATCTTCATCAGTGTGGTAGCAAATATCTAAACAATCAAACAAAAGTAAGGAAATGAAAAAATAGACAAGGTGGGGTTGCCAAAGGACACAGATATTTGGGTGTGTGTATGTGTGTGTTGTGAGGTTGGGTGGATCAAATTGGATTGGATTGGCTTTGGCTTCAGCATGAGTATGGTTTCCATGTGAGCAGGCCTTTTGCTGCCTTCAGATTTTATTTCTTTTCTTTTAAGTAGGTTATGTTTGCAATTTACAATGCTTGACTAGAGTCTCTGAAATTCGCTGGCATTCTTGCACAACAATCAAATCCAGCAGAGGCCAAAATCCAAAGGAAGGAACAAAGGAATGAAGCAAGGTTGTACATGAATGGATAGATAACATAGTTATTTTCTCTCTCTTTTTATTTATTTATTTTTTTTCCCCTTGTTTTTCTTGATTTCCAGGAAAAAATGGATTATGTATTTACGATTGGTTTGGGAATATACTCTGTGTGCATATTCAAAATAGCTTAAGGTTGATTTCATCCAATCTTAATATAAATACTTTGACCAAAATAAACAATGAGAAAATCAAATTTAACTTCGGGCTATTGTAAGTATGAAGCATCATCATTGATTTATTTAATCCTTAAAATCTTAAAAATAAACCTAGATTTTTTTTATATTGTAAATATTACAATCCATTGAACTTCACAATTTTAATTTTGCATTTCATTAGTACAATATAGTTATATATTTGATATAAAATCTAAATATTCATATGAATAGTCAAAACTTATTATAATAAGGACTCATACATGAAATATACACATTATATTATAATTATATATGTATATGCACTAATTTTTAAAATCTGCTCCAAAACCAGTTGAAGATCATATTTTATTTTTAAAACTGGTACAAATATTAATTATACGGTTCAAACTCATATATATATATATATATATCTATATATATGTTTGACATCTTTCTTTGAGAAATACTCACTTTTTTATTTACATTTCTTAAGTTCTTGTTTTTAATACATATTAGTTGTAGTATAAAAACTATTAAGATATATTGAATTAAAAAAAGAAATAAAAATATTATCTAAATATAAAAAAGATTAAATATGAAAAAAATATTAATATTAATTCATAAAAATATAATAATAGTAATTAAAAAATAATAAATTTATTAAATAATCAAAATTTATTTTAATTATCATATAGATGATAGGTTTGGATATAAAGATGTATTAATTTACCTTAAGGACTTTATAAAAGCTTTTGTAACTTATGTGTCATGGATTTATTTAAAAATAAAATTAAATATTTATTTTTAGGATATTTTGGTTAAAAAATATAAAAATATTAGAAAATTAGTATCTAAAGATTATTTGGGCTATAAACAATTACAATTTTTTAAGAATTAAATGAACTAATAAAAAATAGAATCTTTAATCATATTAAACATAATATGTTAATCATATTTTTGAGCAAAAATTTTATTTTCAACAAAAAATTTATAGTTTTTTTTTTTATTATTTTTTTTTATTTTTTTTATTGCTGTTACAAATGTTTGTTTTTATAGGTATTTATATATTTATTAATAAAATAAATTCTTACTAATTTCAAGTAATTGGCACCATTATGAAGTTATTTTTTAAAAATAATTTAATAGATTTTTTTTTTTTTTTTTTTAAAATAATAATATTTTTAGATCTAATAAAATTTTAGAACAATTGATGAGACAACTTATTTTATTTACATTATTAATTTTAATTTGATGAAAACATTTTAAATGTATAGTAATAAAGTCCATCATATTCTATTTTAAAAAAATATCGAACTCCTTTGCTATTTTTATCAATTAAATTGAAAACTCTAAATTATAGCTTCCATCTTATGGAAGCAATCAAATTACATTCCATTAATTTCCCTCTCAACATAAGGAGATTATTTTTTCTTTTTCTTTTCATTGTAGTTATCATTACAAAGAATTTGGAAATGAATAACAATTTTTTTTAATTATCAATTACTTTTCTTTCTTTAATATATATAAGTGGAAGATTTATACTTCTAGAAACACATCTATATTTGGACTTGAAAAAAAAACGAATGAACCAAAACTTACATTGCACAGAGAGCAATATCTAAAATTCCAGCTATTCCTGCAGTCATTGTCATGTTGCAGCATACCCTTTGCACATGACAAGGGGTGCCATTACACTGGACAATTCGGTGATCCATTGATTAACCATGACACCACATTCATAAGGTGGACTTGAGGTGGAGTTTTTCATGACTATTCCTGAAGATGTAGCACACAATTGTTGGAATGTTCATATACTAAAGGCAAAAACTAATTCACACATGGACTATTTGATCAATTCGATTGATGCCCACTTTTCCAAGGCCACTGAGAAGTACCTCCTGAATATGCTCTTGTGAGAGATCCAATGTCATTCCAGATTGGAATCATATCTATACGAGCATCCCTGAAGATGTGTACAGACAATGTCAATTTCCCCAAGAACACAGAATCTTTCAGACTGCACAAGAACTCATGAACAGCGAGTGTGTCCTTGAAATGATCAATCCGATCATTCAAATTCAGGATCAATTATAATGATACACAGCTTATGAAATATGGTTATAAGATTAAAATAAGGTAGATGAAAATTTATGGATAACACTATTTCTTTGTCAAAAGCTATCAGAAACTACACCATGACATTGACCACAGCGCATATTGTGGTCAAACGAATAAATAACTTAAGTGAAATGAAAAATCTAAAATTTTCAACATGAAAAAACTTAATCAGTAGTACATACGATTATAGAACAGGTTTGAAAACAGAAGGGATAGCAGCACTTGCAGACTCGTGTTAGGATCCAACAAAATGTGGAGCAGCAGACACGATTAATCCACCCAACAAAGTCAATTGGTATGTCTACGTCTTTTCGCATGTTCAACGGTATTATATACAACTTTCCTCTTGAGAAATTCAACAGGTGGAATTTTTCTCCAGAAAGGTGTCAAAGATCAGATCCGTCATTAATCTAGAGCGATTCTACTCTAAACGAAGCTCCATGTCCAGGGTGAATAGAGCCTCCAGAAAAACTTGGCAACTAATTTTATGATCAACTTACCTAATAAATTCCTGATTCACGTTTCTTTTAAAAGCGCAACAAAGGCAAATCCTACTGAAACATCTGAAGGGTACAAGCTATCTATTTATTCACCTGTGTAGACTGGTTTACGCTTTTCTGCAAAGGCAGCTAGTCCCTCAAGCCGGTCCTTAGATTTAAGGACCTGAGCATAGCAAGCTTCCTCGATTATCATGCCTGAAGCTGTGTCTACTTCACTTCCTCGCTCAATCGCAACTTTGGCAAGTTTCACTGCAAGAGGACCCTGAAGCAATCACCCAATCAAAGATAAGGAACCGAATCTAGGATTTATGTTTCTATGAGGACCGATTTGACCAAACGAACATCTGCATGTCCAACAGTAGCTTTAAAGCGTCGTGTATAGCTTCCTAAAAAAGTAATTAGCAAGTTTCTAATGACTCATCAAGGTGCGTCCTTAAAATGATCAACTTAACCATTCACATCTGGTCAGAAAAGAAACCAGTACTGTACCTGCTTTGTTATCTCTTGTGCTATACTCACAGCCTTTTCATAGGCCATGCCTGCTTGAACACAATAATTCACAAGCCCTGCCCCACATTCACATGCAAAACACTAATTTTGAGTCCTGCTAGCGACAGATAACAGCAAAAACTATTTGTCCCAGCAAATACATGCTGTATAAAAAATAAAAATAAAAAATAAAAATAAAAAACGTCATGGCCAATCATGAGCAGAGATTCTCAGAATAACGCACAAATATCACATCGGAGTCTGTCAGGTTTATATGAATGAACAAGTAGTATAGGAATGGGCAGAACAGTGCCTATAGCTTCAGCGTGTTGACCATCGATACGTCGGCCAGTGTAGATAAGCTCCTTTGCACGTGCCCTCCCTATGATTCGAGGTAACCGCTGCGTACCTCCTGCCCTGTAACATGTTTTCACCGTGCTCGCTTGTCAAAATACATGAGTACATAGCAGTAGATCCAAAGTTGCTGGGATCCATGATTTTCAACAAAGAAACTTACAGCCTTGTGACTCACAGCGAAATACTCATTGACGAGGCAGCTTACCCAGGAATTATGGCGAGACCAGTCTCTGGAAGTCCAAACACCGCTTCATCTCCTGCACCACCCGAAATCTTGAAAAACAATTATGGATGATCTAGCAGAAACTTGCAGTAGCTGCTGTAGTATTACCCTTAGTAGCATCTATGAATTGGACATTTAAGCAGATTTGAAACTCAAAACAATCAAACCAAAGAACGATCCTCAGAATAATTTGTTAATATTGCAAGGCACTAGTTTCAACTTCGCGACTAAATTATATGCTCAAGAGCTCCAAATAAACCACATGATTAAATATCCTGCAGAACCAAGGCAAAAAATGCAAATATTACCACAGACACGAAGATCACAAGCCAAAGCCATCTCGAGACCTCCCCCGAGCGCGGCTCCCTCCACCACAGCTATTGTTGGAATGGAAAGAGCCTGCACAAATCCAACTGGACTGAGTGGTATAGACATCTTAAAGAACCTACCATATTGATGCACGTGAAGTCTATATTTTACGAAATGTGTCGTGAAGTTAAAACTTGGATATGCTACTGCACACCTCCTTTACGTTTTACTGGAATGACTATCCACGTTCTTGTAAGCCCAAGTCTAACGAAAGACAAATCCATGATGCCTTTATGCATTGCTAAATAATATCTAGAGGTGGAAAATTCACAGAAGAAAAATAAGAAGGTCTACAACATGACTATCTGCATGTAACTATGCATCATGAAACAGAGGATGAGATCTAATAACGTGCAATCAACTCGAATAAGGAATGGAAACACGCATGCATCTACAATCACGCGCTCCCCACACACTTGGATACACAAGAGCATGACTTATTCCACCTGATACTTAGACATGACTATGAAGAACTTTTGATAAATCACCTCAAGAGCAGTAAACGTCGAGCGCAGTGTGTGCACAAACTTCTGAGCTTCAGAAACACCCATCTTACGCCTTTCCTGACACAACCCCGGACCATAATTAAAGGAGTCAAGAATCAGAAGTCACTACCACAAAAATGCCCAGCAAACGCTTCAAGTGCCCGTCCTAAATATTCCTTGCGGACAATTTAAAGCCTAAATACTTAGATGAAACGTAAAAAACAATCTGGAGTGGGCTAAAGCAGCTACTCCATGTGTAAACAACGTAATTATCTCAACATTTCATTCACCAGACGGTAGCTCAGACACCACACACTTTCACCAGAAGACGAGCTTAAAAAATACAGAAAAACCTACAAGCACCGAGGGAGTCCATTAACAGATTGTCACCGCAGTGAGCCGAGGAGATAAAATTCATTTTTAACAAATTGGCACCTCTCGTTAATTGTTGGAAATAAACAGTTGATATGAAACAGATTCCTGAGATATGATTGTTATTTATCACTCACAGATTAATTTTCGGTGAACAAGATTAGCTTGGAACGAAATCATACTGCAGAAACATCGCTGCAAATCCTCCAAGATGAGATGTCCAGTCAGTAGCATGTCTACTGTGCCTAAAGTCAAGCAAGAACTTAAATAGCATACAGGACATGACAGCAAGATAGGAAGACCATAGCCAATCGAACCTTAAGGTCTGCGCCAGCACAGAAGACACCAGAGACTGTACTGCAGATGACAAGTGTTCGCGCCGAAGAATGGAACTGGAGATTTTCTAAGCTTGCTCGTAGCTTACGCAGCATTTCAACACCAATCGCATTTTTAGATTCAGGTCTGTTCAAGGTTAATACTGCTATACCTGAAAACATAGTATGTTCAAATGAAGTACGTCAAAAAGTAATTGCTAGATGTAGTTCACATAACAGAAACCCAAAAGAAAGTTTTTGGATTTTCTCCTCTTCACACTGCATTGCTTTGCGAAACGACATTGTCATTTATCAATCACCATCCTGGGGTGGCAGACAAGTACTGAACAATTCCAGGCACGAAGCACTTTGAAATAAAAGAAAAACGGTGAATCTAGGGTATATGGCAAGAAACAGAGAATAACTACGCCAAACAGATGTAAATATTTGTGAAGCACCCTGCAATTCCGTACGGCAAACAAGCCGCCAGTGGATTGGAAAGTAGTTGAATAACACAGATCATCTCATTCTCACCTTCTTCAGAACCAGAAAGGTACTGCAAATCCACCTGCTCCGTCGTGGCATCGAGAAATAACGATCGTCTAATGGTTGAATATGGCCCACATGAGGCTCGCCACCACGATCGCCACTCAGGTAGGCTATGCCTATCAACCAAACTTACTGCTGACACAATTGCACAGGGTGGAACAGCGAACACCGCCTTAGACACCGTCGAGATCAATCCAGGTGACAGAACTCGACGCCCTTGTCTCGCGCAATTCCACGCCATCGCCGGGTTCAAAAACTCCCAAAAGCAATCCTAAATCCACATGACACGCTTCAAAACTCAACGATACTCAGTCTTCAACATACCGAGTTCCGGATTCTGAACAAGCCGACCAAATTAGTGCAAATTGCCAAAACTTCCTGCATGTCAAGTTAAGCAAATTCTGACCTCAAATCTATAAAAAAATGATCGGAAAAATCGATGTGAAGCCACTTCTAACAATCGAAACATAAAATTCACCGGACAGGAATCGCTGTAGTGAATCGAACGAGTTCTTGAGAGAACTAATCGATCATCTATGGCGAATACAAATTTGGGCGTGGCCACATCATTCCTACATGGCAAGCTCATCTATGACCAGCGTCTTTACTGAATGCACGCCGACAACTGCGCACAAATGACAAAGTTGGTAACCGGCCATTGGAAGTTGGGTATACACCCGGATCGTGTTGAGATCACCGCAGACGAAGCGGGTAGCTTGATTGTGACGCTTCTATCTTCAAAAATACCAGAGGTATTTTAAAATTCCCGCCCAAATAATCTACAGGTTTTGAATTAGCAAGACTTCCCCGCCTGCCAAGATTTGGAAACCAGGTCTCGAGAGCACGTTCTTCATCGTTGTGAAGAACTGAGAATTAGGTATTTATAAGTAGTTCCCGCCATCCGTCAACATCATTGTGTAGAGCTCTTTTGTCTCGTCGGGTCTCTAGAACGTCTTTCGGTTAGGGGTTTGTGCTTTTGTAATTTCTGCTTGTGTTCGCCATGTCGGGCCGCGGGAAGGGAGGTAAGGGCCTTGGCAAAGGTGGCGCCAAGCGGCATAGGAAGGTGCTGCGTGATAATATCCAGGGAATAACGAAGCCTGCTATTCGGCGTCTCGCTCGTCGTGGTGGAGTGAAGCGGATCAGCGGTTTGATATACGAGGAGACTCGAGGCGTACTGAAGATCTTCTTGGAAAACGTTATCAGGGATGCTGTGACGTACACTGAGCATGCTCGGCGCAAGACTGTGACTGCGATGGACGTCGTGTATGCGTTGAAGAGGCAGGGACGCACCTTGTACGGGTTTGGAGGTTAATTCAAGTGGAAAATATCGGACTAATAATACTTACGGTGTTCTTGAACACCACCATTTCGAGCGAATTTTACATCTCCGAAGTGTAGACATTTTCTGTGATTATGGTCTTTAAGTTGCACAAAACGAAGTGCTTCTGTTACAATCCTCTGGTTGGCTTAACTGTACCCTGATAATCGTGTGCCTACGTCGTTCTCTGTGAAGTTGATGTCGTCCTGCCTGAGCTACTCCTCCTAGGGTTACGGGCCGTTTCTCTGTCATAGGTTGTTGTCTTGTACTCCTGGCTGGAGTACTCGACCTCTCTTTCCTGTCTATCGGTCTTCGAGCAGTCGGAGCTCTATGTCGGACGGTAACGGTTGTGTCTTGACTTGGTCCTCGTACAGTTGCCTAAGTTTTTCATCACTTCTGAATTCTTCTTTAAAATTACATATGCGTTATCGTTTTGAAAGGATGCAGTAGAGCATTAACCAGGTGATGGTGAAATCATGTTTTCATTTCGAAAACTAGTCAACTGAACACTAGATCCTGAAATATATTGAATTCTACTACATGTTCGGAGACATTAGTTTGAAAACATCTCAATTAAGGTAAAGAAGGATATGTAGTCCGGTCGAACATTTCCAACGGCGACGAAACCTTCTTATCCCTCTTTCGAGAGTCTTGATAAGGAAGGGACGTGAGAACGATGCGGTGAGTTAGAGGTGCAGTAGGAACGGGGACTGATGAGAGAAGCGGGTGGGAGTGGGGCGTCCGATGATATCGGCTGCTGTGGGGATGAAAGTTGTGAGGCTGTATCTCTTACAGTAGAGACAATCTTATAAGCTGGAGCTGTATTTGAAAACGTAGATGGTACAGTAGTCGCTTGCCACGCGAAAGGCAGAGGGTTTGTCAGCTTATTACTTTGGAACTTATACAGCGTCTGTGTCTAGGGCACCCGTTTAGAAAGCGGGAGGTCCTGAGATCAACTCTCGGTGGAAGTAATAATTTATCTGTTGTCGCCCAGGGATGCAGGTCCATCTTCCCCCGCATGCACTTCCTCCCTCCGTTGGATGAATCTTCCCTGCCAAGTCTCACTTCACCGATCTGTCTCGTCCTTTACCTGCCTCTCCCTCTATCGCATCTGTTTTTGCCGCTCCCTCACTCCCCCTCCTTCTCTTTCCCGCGTTCTCACCCACATTCCATCGTCTCCACGCACCGCATTTTCCCCTTATTGCATGCTCTCCTCTGCACGTCGAGGTGGTGACTGGAAAACGCACTAGGGATCAAATATTCTTAAGAAATTCTCTGTTTTGAAGAGTGAATGCATGACTGCCAGTACTTGTTCTCAAGTTCCAGGTATTTGTGTTTTTTCATGATTCATGAAGGCATGTAGGATAAAAGCCAACAATTATTCAGAGTTAAAAAATAATTGTTGGATTTTATTTTAATTATTAATTTTTTTATCATTTGATTTTTTTCTTCTTTGGCCTCGTTTGTTTCTTTTCTTTTTACTCTTTTCCCATTTTTGATTTCCTGCGTACCCACCTTGTTATGGTTCTTTCATTCATGATATGATTAAAGTTAAGCACTCCAAACTTATTGACTGCTCTACTTTTACTTACATGGATAGTACCTTGAAATAGTACATAAGTTGAACTTGCAACTGACAGGAGATCAATTCATTGGGGCATCACAACCTCTGCTTTGTGTAATGAATGCTTACCCTTCTACTTCATGTGGCCATCATATGTATCAATATTGTCACCACCCAAAAGTGTGCAATCCAAAAGAAGGTATTTTTAATAGTTGTAATCATTGATCTCTTCACAATGCATACTTAACCTGCTCAAATAGATGTGTCTACACATTGTGTGGTCTGTCTTGAAGAGTAAAGGTAGCAACGTTGCTCTCTAGGGCAATGGAATATGTCACCCTTTGTCTACCAATAAACCTACTACACACAAATGCACAGTGGGCCTCTTTGCACTCATGAGGAGAGTATTGGATAGAGGAAATTAGCAAACACATTCTAGGGCATGATGATCTAGCTCATCTACATTTAGCCATAGTCATGTGCACACTGCTTGGAGTGGAGTGACATTAGACTGAATTAATCATAACATGGCCAAAGAGGCAGCTATAACAAAGTTGGAGCGTGGCTTTAATAAGTCCTTTTAAATATATATATATATATATATATACACACACATTTGTATAAAATATAACCTAAAGATAAATTTGTATATATTTTTTATTTCTAAATATTATAAATATTAAATCTTTATACAAGATGTTTTAAAGAATTGATATTTATTTTATAAATGGTATCTATCATAAGTTTTTTTCTTCAAATTTTTTTGTAGATTGATTGGAATATGATCAATATATATATACATAGATATTTAATAATATAATTAAATCTTTATTTTTAGAATATTTTTTTTTCTTTAAACATAACAATTTTAATAAATAAAATATATAATCTATTTATTATATTTTTATTATATATATATATATTAAAACCTAATTCATTTGATTTAACAATCTTATAATATGGAAGACCAAAGTAATAGAAGAGCATTGGCTATTGAAGCTCACATGTAAAAATTTTAAGCATTTTCTTGACTTTAGAGCATTGCCAATGCAGTTGTGGCTATGCCACATGGTAATAGCTTGAATTGAGTTATAATTTAGATTACAAAAGAATATGTAGTTGCAAAGAGATTTCTATTTGGAAAAATAAGTATTGATTTTTATTTTTAATAAAAGATTCTTAAAATTTGGTGGACATGGCTCTATATACTAAGACAACATATATAGTGTGTGTCAAAGAAGATGGAAGGAGAATAAAGGCAAAACGTATAAGTGATGTTTTTATAGACACTTGCTTTAATCTGCCAATAGATTTAAATAAGAAGAAAGAGGGTTATTTTCTCCTATGACTTATAATGCCAAAGCAATTGCTTAAATAATTAACTGAGATCATACCAAAATTACTAGCATAAGACGATCTTATTGTGAGTTACAATCAACAGCGGCTTATGGAACCACCTCCAAAAACACGGAAGGCCACACCAAATCTACTCTCAACTTTATCACCGCAGCATCCTTACAAATTTTTGCAGAACATGATACCCAACGAGTGATCCCGCAAAACTGCGGTTCTGCTGCTGTTGTTGTCGAGAGGAGAATAATGAGGTTTTTGAGCCGCAACGAGTCTAGGGACTTTGATCATAGCCCAGGCTGTGATCAAGACCGCTCTCCACTGCAAGCAGCAAAGTCATCCACAGACACGAGATCCATCGCAGCCGCACACCTCCATGCTTTGGCGACCTCTCTCAATTTGGATCAATCAGGTATCATTAATTAATCAAATTCAAGACCGTATCAATCTTCTCAGTGCACGGCGTCGACGCGGTCAGCTCACATGGAGGCAGAGGATTCAATATGTGATACGGCTTGGCCGGCTACAGTGAAGGAACACTCGTAACCAGATTTTGGACATTAATACCCACGCGAGTTGAAAACAGGTTATTCCGACAAAGAAAATGGAAAAAAATTAGTGACAATTGAAATGGAATTCATGTGTATAAATCCTACAGAGAAGAAGGAGATTATAACAAGGTATCTGGATGAAGACACATCCTTTGTAGACAAACAAGTTTTTACTCCAACCTTTCTTTTGATCTTAATCACATTGTCTTTGAATCTTTTTTAGATAATAAAAATGCAAGATGCTGTAAAGATTTTTTTTCCTCTTAACCTAAAAAGGGAAAGAAATAAAAATATATTATCATAAGATTAGAAATGTATTAGCTCTACAACAATAATTATTAAATGAAGAGATATAATATGATTTTCTCTTTTTAATACTTTATGAAGTAACTTAAATTAACATCATGTTGATTTTTTCAAATTAGAAGTTGCTTCTTGCTACTTCAATAATCTAAATTGTATTGGTCCTACAAAAATATATATTTTCTTATATATATATATATATATATTTTAGGTGTTTAATTCAAAAATATTGGATCTCTTATATATAATAAAGCTCTTTAGATTACTCCTAATGATATTTTATAAGACTTTATTGATATTATAAACATATATGCTTCTAACAAATATCATAAAAGAAGTCAAATGTGGCTTATTTGACACAAATATATTTCTTTCTAAGACGAAAATATATTTCTTCTTCAATATATAATCACCGCTGCTTATAGAACTTGTCTTTAGGAGGAGAGGGGGGGATAATGTCATGGATATATATCTACTGTAATTGTTACCTAGATAATATGAATAAATAGAATTAGATAAAAAAAAAAATAATTTCATAATATCTTCAAGAAAAGCTTCTTGGAAGCTTTGTAGATGCTATTTTGACTTTAGATATGTTCATAGTTGATTGATAGGTTAGAAACTTCGTCAACAAGCTATTCATGTACCACATGTATTGGTAGCTTGCAAAACAAACTAACTATATGGCGTCCATGTAAAAAACTTGCCTTGCAAGTCAAGATACATGTCATACAAAGTTAACACGTTTTTGGAAGTCCTATAGAACATTACCACATAGATCCTAGGTAGATAGTATATATAGAGGCAAGAGTAAAGCCTTCTTCACTCTTATCAACTCTTCTCTTGTTTCTAGTCTAGTTTCAAGAGTCTCTAGTTTCTTTGTCTTTTGTCAATAGCCATTTTAGTTTCTTTTTAATATACATACTTCTTATTATAAATATAGATTTTATTATAAGATATAAAAAGTCTTATTAAAAATATAGATATTATTATAGAAGAGCTTAGCAAAAAGATGTAGTCAAAAAATAAAAATAAAATATAGAAAGGTAGTAAAAGATTTAGTCTTAATGTTGCCTTTTTCTAAAAGGAACTCCTATCTACTTTATAGGGGCATAAATAAGCCAAATCAAAGTAAATAAGATAAGAAATTGATACAAGCATATTAAGGAAAGATTTAACAATAGGATAAAGAAAAATTCACCTCAAATTACCAAAAATTGATACCTAAAAAAGTCTAATTATCAACCTGGATCAAAATCAGATCCTAAGGCATAAAACTACATCAATATGGTGACTTTGGAGCTCTTTAATAGATCAAAAAGTATAGTTTGAGAGCAAACTTAAGAAGAGATTGTTCTATATTAATTTTATATCAATTTAATCAATATTGAGTTTTTGAGAGATTTTCAAAATTAGTGATATTCTTAGATGGTTTAGATTTTGAGAAATAAAAATGTGTTTACAAATTTGAGGTTTCTTGAGTTTTGTGGATTATATACAAATAAATTTTAGGCAATGTATTGATGTACTAGTTGTGAATGTGTATGTAAATTTTGAGATCAATCAAATAATTAGATCAAAATGTGAAGTTTTTTGTAAGTTGAGGTCTCAAAAATTGGAGTTTAAAGGTTAGTGAGTGTTTCTAAGATCTTCAGCGAATTATCAATTGGATTAAAGTGATTTTTTTTTGTATAGATATTAGACTCAATTTCTAATATTTAAGTAAAATTTGAGAGTAATTCAATATTTCAAGAAGGAGGTATTGGTGCTAGAAGTTTAGCATTTAGGATGGAGTAGGAAGCCTTCCAACATTGGATTGGATTATCTTGCATTTCTTTCAATTAATAAGTACAATCAATCGAATCTTTTTTGCACTTGTTTCTAACTAAGATATTAAGAAGTGTAAAAATTTTGAGTTGAACTCAATAATTTGATCATTAGTTGTTGAAGTTCTATTTTGATATAGAGTTTGATTTTAGGTTTGTCTATGGTTTGATTAAGGCTTGGGATTTGGTCTAGGATTTGGTTGGGATTAGAAATTACTTGAAGTTTGGTTTAAAATTTAATTAAGAATTGATTGATATTTTTTTAGAGTTTGTCTAGAATTTAAGGTTTTATTAAGATTTTATTAGGATTTGACCTAGGATTTGGTTAAGATTTAATTAGGATTTAATTAGAATTTCTATTTTTAGTATTTTAAAAAGAATTTTTATTATTTTTTGAAAAAAAATTAATTTTTAGTATTTCTTTAAGATTATTATTATTTCTTTAAATTTTTATTTTTATTTTTCTTTAAGATTTATTATTATTTTTTTGAGATTAATTTAGGATTTTTTTATATTTTTTTATTACTTCTTTTAAATTTATTTTGAATTGATCAAAGTTTGATTAGGATTATTAAGATTCACTTAAAGTTTATTTAAGATTCTATTAGACTTAGTAAGATTGTTCTTATATTTCTATTTACCTTCCATAGCAAGGTGCATGGTGCATTTTCAAGCAAGAACACATATAATACAACATAGGTAGTGAATTAGATATAAAAGCTTGAGGTGGGAGGTATTGGAGTTGCTTATTTTTTTACTTTTATTTATTTAAGGAATAATAAGAGCAAGAGTTTTGAAGGATCTATAGAAGGAGCTTCAAGTAGAGCTACTAGTAGAGTTTCTACTAAAGGACAAGGTATATATAGATCCAACCATTGCGAGCATGTTTCAAGCTTATACATTATCTATGCAACAACAACAAAGCAATGATTGACAAGGTGCAATGGGCTACAATAAAGATCCGGTCGCTACAAC